CCATCCCTCCCTCCTTTCCACCTTAATCCTACCCCCTTTTTTTTTTTTTTTTTTTTGCTATTGCTGCCTATTCCATCTTAAAATCAAAACAAAACAAAACCCCACAACAACTCTCCCATCCCTCCCTCCTTTCCACCTTAATCCTACCCGCTCCCACATCCCCACCCCCAACCCCCCAGTCTCCAAAAATCCGATTGTGTTTTCTCCAAGGATTGGGACTGGATTTTCTGATTGCGGTTATTTCCATGTTTCTAGGTTTGTGTGATTTTGCTAAAATGCATCACCAACAGCGAATGGCTGCCTTAGGGACGGACAAAGAGCTGAGTGATTTACTGGATTTCAGTGCGGTAAGAAAGAACGGTGGAAACTAACAACAGCTGTGAAAAAAAAACCAAAAAAAAAAAAAAAATCCAGAAACCCCAAAACACTTCAGCTAGAAACCAATAGTAATCTAAAGGACAAGAATGAATTTTAATTGGCTGAGTCCTTGGTAAATATGAAGGTCTTTTTGACAAGTTTTAAACTCATTTTGGGGTGTGATGGAAGATTCAGGCTTTTTTTTTTTCAGAGTCTAATTACTTGCCTTGAATTCTTAACCCACCAGTTCCCCACAATAATGGAAACTCACCCCAGTGGAAAGGAAAAAACAGACACCCCTAAAACTGTAAGTCATCTCTAAAACTTGGCCATGTGTGAACAGTGAGAGTACTAATACTTGGCATACTCATCTTATTTACTATTTTCTGGAAATGGAAAAAAGAAAATAGGAGACCTAGTTGTCTCTAAAGTTTTACACTGATGATGCTGTGGACTGGAAAGAACTGTAGTCCTCCTCATTATCTCTTTTTCTGGGATTCTGAAAACTCCTCTATATGCTGAGCTGAGCATACATTTTTTAGAACCTTTTGGACTATTTTTGTAAGTATCGTAGTCCTGAGATCAGCACAAAGAGGAACTTAACACTTGCGGAGTTTTACCACTGTAATCAGTCCTTCTATTCCCTCTGTCTGCTTCCCTTTCCCAAACCAAGTTCCACACATGTCAGGGATGGATTCATTTTTAATGCCAGATGAGTTTGGTATAAGATGCATTTGTAAAGCAAAATATAGAGAATCCACAAAACACACAAATACAATCCAAACCGCCTTCTAAGTGGGCTCTTTCATGCTGCTGCTGCCGCCACCGCTGCCGCCACCTCTGCTCCTCTTCTAGACTTCTTTTTGGAGAAATGGCTTTCGGAAGTTTTGCCAGGAAATGTAGCTGTAGGCAGCTTTGCAGCCCCCTTTCTGCTTGCTGCACTTTCTCCATTCGTTCCTTTGCTTTTTTGCAGGCTCTGACTCAGGGAAGGTGTGCATTATCCACTAGATACGTGGAAAGAGGGAAACCAATTAGGGTCGAAATAAATGCTGGAGAGAGAGGGAGTGAAAGAGAGAGTGAGAGTGAGAGAGACAGAGAGAGAGAGAGAAAGAGTCTTGCTTCCAATTGCTCTCATTTAGAGATGAAATGAGAATTTAGTGCAGGTGGCACTTTTATTTTATTTGGGTTCACATATGACAGGCAAATCGAAACGGGATGGAAATGGACATTGCTACATTTATGGCCAAGGTTTTCAGTATAATATGAACAACTTTTTTCCTTCTTTGTCAAACTAGTGTTTACTAGAAAGGCTGGTGCCCTCCAACCTGAATCTTGATAACTCTGTGGAGCACTGTGTTTGTGCAGAAACTAGTCATATTGCTTGGCAATCTCAGGCACTCGAGGAAAAAGAAGGAGCTGTAGTGGGGGGGGGGCAGTGTAATGTGTCTGTTTTAATTTTAAGTTGGATGGTGATGTATTTTACTGTATAAACCCTTAGCATAAACTCTTAAGTTATTTGGTAAGAGTATGAAAAATCTTTGATGAACTCTGAAGGCACAAGTGTCTACTTTTCAACTGTAATATTTCTTTGTTTCTTTTAGATGTTTTCACCTCCTGTGAGCAGTGGGAAAAATGGACCAACTTCTTTGGCGAGTGGACATTTTACTGGCTCAAGTATGTAAATTCTTTTTTTACTGTGACGTTAAATATTCTTGCCTGTTTATTTGCTCATTCTGTGTTTTTGTCTCTGAAGTGTTAGGAAAAAAGTCATTGAATTTTAGCCTAGAATGATAAGGTTATCTGAGTGTCCATCAGCAGTGTAACTCACACAAATTGTTATCTTTTGCAATTAAAAGTAGACTTTTTTTTAAACCAAGAAAACTCTCAAAATTCCATCACTTAAAATATGACTCATTTTCTAACACAGTTGTAATCAAACATGTGAAGATAAGACCAGTGTTGACATAGGAAATAAATTAATGTTCTCTATTTGAAAATACAGAGGAAAAAATCTAACTTTCATCAAAAGGGGCAATCCCTTGTAAATAATATCAGTTATTAGTTACTGTGTACAATTAACCCTTTCAAAAAAATGAGCACTTAATTTTGCAAATGAATGCTGTGTAGAAAACCATATCTGTAAATAGCCTCTTGGTAATCTGAAAGGCTAAATATGAATTCATTTATGTTTAAAATATCCTTTTTGATGTTTTAGCTGCTTGTTTTCCTCATTTGCTTGTGTGATGGATTTTTGCTATGTTTAAAGTTGCAAATTTGTAAGGACTTTAACATTTTGTAAATGAAAGATCTGTAGGTGATGCTTAAAAAAGGACGTTAGCGGTATTCACAAAGGAATCTGTACACAATGATTATTTGTCATCTAAGGAAGAGTTTTTCGTACAGGACTGCTTGAGTATCTCTTATTAAAAGTGAAGACTGAAGATATGATATTCATTTAAAATGTTTTTAGTTTGTTGTTGTTCAATTAATTTTAGATAACGAGTCATACATCCTTGCCTGCTATTCTTTAGGTGCAAGACTATGCCTGTTAAACAGCTGCAGCATTTTAGGAGCTCTGGTAGTGGTATATAACAAACATTAGACAGAGTACTATTCTTAAGTCAGACTAGGAAATGTTGACATCTTTCAGCTGTGAGATGCCACTGGAATTGTCTATCAACTATGAATATAATTTCACATCTTTTAATTTTCATCTGGTGCTATAGCTATGAAAGAAATCTGTTCACCTATGATATGTATAATTGGTATGTTTTAATAAAATCGATGGCTTTTAAAAGTTGCTCATTTCCAAGTAAGTGACTTTTATTGGTCCCCATTAGTCTAAGGAATTTTTGTCTCAATAACTTAGAAAATATGAGATGCCTCCTGTAGCTATATTTTGGCACTTTTTGGGGTCCAAAGTGATTAAAAGTACTATTGACTATATGTTTGTGCTTTACTGTCCTGGACCCTGTTCTAGTTTTCCTTTAGAAACTTAAATTTTGTTGTTGTTGTTATATTAGTATTATATCTTCTCAATTTCTATATGGAATTTTCTATGTAACTCTTATGATAGAAAATAATAATGTGAATGCTTGAAGTAAAAGATAGGTACAAGTGTTTCTTATAGGTAAATTACCTTTTTCTGTTGACCCTATCAAAACAGTAGCTATCTCTGACAGTGATTTTCTTCATGTTTTACTTAAGAAATGTGCATTCAGTTTAAATCTGAAACTAGAAGTCAGGCAGGCACAGAGATGGACTACTTTCAAAGTCAGTGTAAAATACTTATTTGTACTATTGTAAAAATAAACACATTTGGAATAACTTAAATGTGTTACTTTAGATATGATTTAATAAATTAAGGGTAATTAAAAGTATGAAATATGTTAAACTGAAAAAAATACAACTGTATCTGGCCCATTTTCTGTGTTCACCTTTAAATAAAGTCCTTGCTATCATGTTTTAAGTGTTTCTAGAGTGTAGAATGGTTAAGTTGAATATATTAATACATTTTGGTAAGTAATCATATCAAAACTTACACAGTTCTTAAGATGTATGTATGTGTCTGTCTGTCTGTCTATCTATCTATCTGTCTTATCTATCTATCATCTATCTATCTATATCTCCATGTATACATAAGCCTAGAGAGAGATTTCATCCTTACTAGGCCATGTTATATTTCTAATGAATATGCAGTGATTATTTTTAAGATGTTGAACTTTATGCTACATTGTACCAGTGGTGTGGTTTTTAAGACCAGATGCTTACTTGTAAGGGTAGAAAGTGTAGTGACTGTTTTATTTTTACCAGCCTGGTATTCAATGCAGTATGATGGTGATTATAATGTATAGGAAGACCTATAAGAACGTAGAACTCTTAGTGAAGAAAATGGCTTCTATTTCTATTCAATAAAATACATACATCTCTTTTAAAGCATAACAGATGAAAGCAGTCATGAAATCAGTGCTTGTCCTTTAACTGGAAGAATGAACTAGGAAACTTTGGGTAGAGAAATCATTCTCTAAAGTTACTTCAAGTTAATAACCATTGTCCTGAGTGGACTCAGATGTCACTTTTCATAGGTATTTTTGAAACTTTGATTCCAGAAGAAAAGATCTGAGCTATAAGTAAACTATTCCTATTTGAAAATCAGCTATATTTTTTCAAAGTGAAGCATGGTAATATTTCATGCTTAAAGTTTCCAATAGCTTTTGATTCCATTAATACAGGATGCTTTATCGTGATTTGCAACGTGAGAATGAAAATAAAGTGTGGCTATATTCTCTTTAATCTTTGATTTCACAAACATGCTTTTTCCTACCACCTTAAGAAATGGTGAGGCTGTTAGGGAGAATGGAATGTAACCTGAGCTACAGCCTGACATTCCCAGGGAGCATTTTTCACATGAAAGGCTTTTGTCAACCCTGGAAAGGACCAGCAGTTTTTGTTTGATGTTTGCAGGTGTTCAGCAGAAAGCAGTAAAACAATTCAGCTATGATGGTCCAGAGCTTCCATGACCTTAACACAGAGAATTGGTGGGCTCTGGAATTATTTTTAAGAAATAGTTATAACCTACATGGTAATTTATACAAAGGAATTTAATATCCGTTGTATCATTGATCTTAAATCCACATGCCTGGATTTGAAAATTGTTCTCATGAAAAAGTTGAATGATGAAGTTCCTAAAAGAAAAAAAAAGTTCATTGAAGGTCTATAGTTTTTGCTGAGTAGAGGTTTAATTTTCTAATATAACAAATATATAGTCTAATTGGTTATTTTTGAGTCTTTTGTGAACAGAAGATGAACATATTGCTGTTGGTGTCTTTTTAAAAAATAGTTTAAAGTTGGGCCACTAAAACTAGGTACATTAAAGAACTTGTTCAGTCCTAATCTCATCTGTTACATGTATTTACAATTAGTCTGTGATGGATTCTACATCTTTCTCCCTTAGTTTAAAAGTTGAGGGTTTTTTTCCCCTATAACTGTTTAATTTTACGTAGGTGTTCAGCAGTTGTTGAAAATTGCCAAGCAATTGAGTGTTTGAACAGTTAAGAGGAGAGCAGCAAAATACACCACATCTCTCTTGTGGGTTATTTTTGGAAGACGGAAACATTTCTTGGCACCCATATAGATTAGTTAACCTATATCTCTGCATGACACCAACATGACCCATCAATTGAGTAAATTCATTGAGAAAAAATCAATCTAGGGTAGTTTTGTGTGATAGAGAAAATTCAAGTGTTGAGGATCCTGAATTACTTTCATTCTGCATCAGTTTGAGTTCATGGTCATGATGTGAAAAACTGATCTCCCCTTGAAGGTACATACTTGTCAAGGGCAGATATTTACTATGTGTGTGTGTGTGTGTGTGTTTGAAAAGAATCTTACTATTGTAGTACAGTTCATAATGGTTGTGTAACTTATTTTAACAAGGAGAGAAATTTAATAGATTTTTAAAAAGTATAGTGATATCAAACTCATTATGTTAGAATCAAGAATTTTGGCGCTAGAAACCCTCTAGAAATGTCCTGCTCAGTGCTTTTAGTGCACAGCCAAAGAAAGCTGAAGCCCAAGTTAAAGAGTTTCTAAGTGGTGCCTTTGTTATTGTAAGAAAATAAGTTTGATTTGCTAATTCTCTGAGGGCCTGCAAATCCTTTTGTGGAAATAACATTGGTTTCATCACTGTTTTTCTGACACTTTGGTGCATAATAGGTATTAGAATTGGCGTGCTGATATTTGTGCTTGTAAATGCTTCCGTATGTGCAGGTACCCTCTGCATGCTCTTCTCAGATTTGGAGCTAAATTTTGGAGTATCAATCCTTCTCTCTTACCTAGTCTCCCCTGTGCCCAGTGGCAAGATGTAGAGGAGAATAATACAGTGCGAGTGAGCATGGCACTGACAAAATTAAAGTGTTTTAATGTGCTAGGTGGTGTGTTCTACACTATGTATTTACTGCATTTTAATCTTCTCAAGAACCTAAAACAGTGTAAGGATTATCATGCCCAATTCATGGATGAAGAAACTGAGATCAGAGATGTTAAACAAGTTGCTCTCAAGCCAGACAATGACATTAGATTCTAAACTGACTTCTGCCTGTCCCATAGTTCATAGTGTGCATGCATGCGTGTACACACACACATACCCTGCATAATTGTCTGATGGTTTGGTTTTTCCTGATTATATAGCTATAGAATGTAATATTGAGGCTTGGCATGAAATGCTATCCATGATCCTGCCTTAATATCCAAATAAGCATACCCTTCTAATATGATGGATATCAATGTGACTTAGTGTATCTTTCTCATATTTATTTTTAAAGTTTTATGTATGTATGTATTTATTTTGAGACAGTATCTTGTTTTGTACTTCAGTCTGGCCTTGAAATCACTATGTAGCCCAGGCAGTCCTCAAACCTTCTGTGAGTCTCTTACCTTAGCCTCCTAAGTGCTGAGATTATAGGTGTGTGTCACTAGGTCTGGTGTCATTATTTTAAAAAGAAAATACAGTAGATATTTTTAAAGTTCTTATGCTTTAATTATGCTGTAAATTGGCTATCTAAAAATATTTTACTTTCAATTGTCTGTATGTATGTAACCCGACGAGGTGAAGTAAATGTCTGACCTATTAATATCTAAAAATAAGGATCTCCTATCTTTAAGTATAAAAAAGT